CACCGTGTGTAGTCTATAGATCCCACCAGACTATAAATGCCCTGAGGGGAGAAACTGTCTTTTAGTCATCGTTATATTCCCCACAGTACTTTATAAACAATGCGCACTAAATAAAATGAATGAGATAAAAAGTCTCCATTGTTTAAATGACTCTACAAACTAGTTGGGGTGTATCCAGTATTTTTAAAAGTTATATACTTGGTACTTGCTACAGGTGACAGAAAAATATATGACACAGCCCTAAGCTCAAGGAATTTATAAGGTAGTTGGGGAGGGAAGACCCATACATATGAAAAATAACTAAGAATGTGATGCAACTTATGAGAAATACCTGAAAGTGTTTTGGAAGATGGGAGGATGGACTCGGGCAGAAAGAAAAGGCTTCAGGGGCGAGGCAGGATTTGAGCAGGGCTCAGGGAAAAGTAACAGCGTTGTGCAGGTGTTGGAAGTCAGGATTTCTAAAAAGGCAGACAGAAAAGATTTCAGGGAAGGAGATGAGAAGGAAAGGAATAAAGCGTGTAAATAAGACAATGAGGAGCTCAGTTTGGCTAACATCAGAAGATTTTTGTAAGAAATCAACTTAGAAAAGTAGACTGAAAGAAGACTAAAGAATCTTAAAGCTCCACCTAAGACCTTTGCTGTGATCTGTTTTTACTTGTCTTACACCTCAAAGGAAAAGCCTCTTTTACTTCAAGATTCTACCGGTACAAAATGAAAGACGTCTAGAGTTTCTCCTTTAAGCCTATTATTTACTTTATTTGCTTGTTTCCGTTATCTTAACCTAACCACCAGCATCAAGTAAAGATTTAAACCAAAGGTTGGCATTCAAGTCTTCACTCCCTCCAGGTAACAGTATTCATGGGGGCTACAGGGCAGGTCTTAAATTTCAGGGAAGAAGAGCCATGAGCATCAAAAGTTGATGATTAAACTGTAAATACAAAGGAAGGTTCTCATCTAAAACCCTTTGGATAACACTTTAGCAAGGATAAACTGGAGCCCTCTAAAGATTAGATAGCACTGAACACAAATGACAAATTCCAGGCTTTTCTCCTACTCTGTGCACAACGGGAGGGGAGGGGGACCAGATATTCCATGACCTACTCTGCCTTGATAACTTTTGGTCTCTTATCATAAACTTATCATAAACTGCTCACCCCAGTCTTCAAGTTAGGCTGAAAGGCAAATATTCTAGATCTACACTCTCCAATATGGTAGCCACTAAGCCACATGCACTGTTTAAATTCTTTTAAAATAAAATTAAAAATTCAGTTCTTCAGTCACAGCAGCCACTTTTCGAGTGCTCAAAAGCCACAGTGCAACATGTAGAATAATTTCCATTATCACAGAAAGTCCTACTGGACAGCACTGTTCTAGAACCTCCTCCATCCAGGGACAATCTACTTGCCAAATGAACAGTGTCCTTCAAAGTGATCACCTGAGGAAACCGTAAGTTTATTTAAATAATACTGCTTTGGTCAAAATATTTTTTAACTCCTCTTTCAGAGGCAGTTTATAAATTGCCCTTTAGTGGTGACCCAAGATGGCAGTGACCATCTCAATCTCTCAAAGGTCTTCATTAGACTTGCCTCTAAAACACTACTAGCTGTCTCCATAATTTGAACCAAAAATACAATGACGTGTAACTATTGAACACAGCAAAAATTTATCCAAGACACATAGGGTAATTCCAAGAGTTCCAAAAATTATTAACGGCAGTATCACTGTAATAAATGAATGACACCTCTCTAGATGAAAGAATTTAAGATCTGGTGTATTTTTTCCATTTATTTTTAAAAGTCAGTCACATTACTTTATAATCTTGCTTTCCAAACTATAAGGTTGCAACATATACTATACACTAACCCCCAGAATCCTATATTTACACCATTGATTGATGCCATAGTTATAATATTTTTTCAAGCCAAGAACCACTTGAAAAATGTTCTGAACAGTCAAAAATAGCTACTATATTGCTTGTACATTCTCAAACGGGAGAAGCAGGGACAGCGATCTACTTCCAAGCACCAACTCTGTACCAGGGAGAAGGGCTCCAGGCATGGATGGTTCAGTGGCACATCCTTTCTGACTCTCTTCCTTCTCATTAAAAGGTTTCTGCCTAAAAACAGGAAGTTTTGTTGCTAAACATCAACACTAGAGGAACAGTTTTTTGTGTTTTTTTTCTGTGTAAGCTACAGGATTATTTTAAGAGACAAAAAAGCGAGGCCTGAAATAAGCAAAAATTTTGAACTACATTAATATCCTAGTTTGTGATTTAACTCTGAGATCTGATTTAAATAACAAATTTAAAAGGGCAAGACATTTATTTCAGGGAAGCAAATAACCTTAGAAGACCTACCCTGTTCAGTATTTCCTAAACAGAAGTGTGCTTTATATGCCTTGAGAATGTTAGCTTTACTCAAAGTTAGGATTCCAGAAAGTAGCGCTATTCTCCTTCCACCCAACACAAATATGTGCTCCACCCTCTGGGAAGCTAAGGTTTGGGACACATTTGTCTAGTGTGTTAGATACTGGAAAACAGTAGCGTCTGGAGAGGCTTCAAGTGATTAGAACAATGCCAGTACACAGTATGCACCACAAATACTAGCCAGTTATTTCTAAGAATCCAACTGCCCCACTTTCCTCTCAGATATAACCTCTTTCACTACACGTTACTTGAACAGGAAATTACATAAAAATCAGTCTTCCGTTCTAACAAATTTTCTGAGGTTGGGAATACAGTTCAAGATGAGAGCCTTCTCAAAACATAGAACATATACTTACTACAGTTACTCCTAAGCAGTCCCCTAGAATATGCCTCATAAAGGGAAGAATATTGAAAACATGCAGATAAAGAAAACATTTATTTGTAGTAAAAAAACAATGGGTTAGTTATCAGGCTCTTGAAAGAAAAAAAAAAAAGCACGACTGTAGTGATGAACCCCAAGTTTGGAGGTGAAGCCAGTGCCATCTAACACTTTATGCAAAGCACAAAGAGCCGTCAACTGTTCCAGCTGCCCCAGGAAACCACCAGAGTTCATTTCAAGATGCCTGAGGGATCATTCCCCATCTGCTAACAACCACTACCATTCAGACCCCATCTTGATACCCCTTCCATGAAAGAGAATGGGAATTCAAAAGACTCAATTCTGTTCTACCTGTCAAAGAATATATGAAAGCACAGTTCTATTTCTGAAAGCACAGAAATGAAATGAGATAATGAAATAATTACTTTAATTACTGACACTGATCTAAAGCAATTAAATACTGTCCCCATAGCTAAAATTAACCTTAAATTGGTAATTTCAAGTTTCTACAACATATATGTACAGGATGTCTCATTTCTAAAAGCTGTCTTAAATACATCCCAGTTAAAGACACACATTTGAAAGGGAACATACCTAGGAAATCCATAAAGGGCTCTTAGTTTCAAAGAAAGCAAATATTTTAAGACTTTAGGTCATACATATTTAAGAAAATAGGGACATGTGACTGTTACAGAGGGGAAAAAATGGGGAACACATGGGACAATGCTTTAAAAAGAGCAGTCTAATGCATGTGTGGTAGCAGGGGGTATATGGGAAATCTCTGTATCTTCCACTCAATTTTGCTGTGAAACTAAAATTGCTCTAAAAAATAACGTCTATTAAAACAAAAAAAATTTTTTCAAGAAACAAAAAGAGCAATCTACTTCAAAAAGTGGATATTGAGTCTTTCTGATACTGACATGCTTTGTGGGGGGAAAAGCAGTAACGAAACAAAACAAAAAAATTTTGGCCACATAATCTCTTAACTCTAGAATCAAACTTAGGAGAATCCAGTATCTACTTAAATAAAAGATGGGATTGGGATAATTTATCAAGTGCTCATTCCTAGCACAGAGGAACACAGAGTTTTTGAAGTTTTTGTTTGTGAAAATTAATAAATGGAAACTTCATTTAAAATGGAGTCCAGGGGCCCAAAGAGGGAGCTGCCACACACTGTCACTTGAGGTCAATTACAGGAAAGATTGTCAATTAATAGACCCCAAGAAAAAGAAGTCCTCAACAGGAAGAATCATCAATTACAGACCCCAATAGGAAGAAACGTACATTGCACCCCAAATAGAAACGGACCACACTAGCAACTCAGTCAATGAGAAACCATCACCACCCTGAACTCTTGCTCTTCTCCAATGGACTTCCATTCAAAACAACTCCTCCCAATTTCCTCCTTTTTCCCTATAAAATAATGGTCCTCTCCTTTGATTCTTGGACTTGCCTGTGGCTTTTGCTATAGCTTGCTTGTTCCGAACTGAAATTCTTTGCTGTTCCCCAGTAAATCCACTTTGCTGGTAAAATAACTGGGTGTTTTATTTTTTAGGTTAACAGTTTAAAGGAGGGCAATCCTTAAGAAAATTATATGTATTAACCCTTAGAGACCAGGTTTCTGGATATTTCTTCTTAATTGTGATACATCTGAATTTAGGCTTCTGGGTCATAAATAATTTATACTACTGATAACAAAGTCTAATCATTTCAGATTGTTACTTGCCTGGTGTGGTAGATATATTTTCCTAGAACAAAAATGCTATGTTTATTTGCAGGGAACAGGAAAACTGCTATCAAATCACCTAGTAAACAGAGCCACTGGTTGACCACACACCCATTCACACAGTGAGACATTTCTGCTCTACTGCTCAGTCTTCTGTTTTTAAACGTCCTGCCAGAGGATATTTTAAAGCAATGATTTTCTTTTCATTATATAATCTTTTTCAGTAAAATATAGAGGGCCTAATGACAACTTCTTTACTTTTTATCTACAGAAGTTGCAGAAAAGTCAACCCAAATCTAGGAATATGAGACAAACAGTACCTCATGATGACTGTAGAATTGGACCAGGCCTCAGCTCATATCCTGCCAGAAGTTGGGCAAACATTTTAAGTGACCTCGGCTGTGAGGTCATGATGATGACCTCATAAACAGGAATTCTGATGTTGGTCTGCCTCTAGGATGCAACCTCACCACTTTAAAGAAAAACCAGAAGGTTTGGTATCCCTGAATCTGGAGCTGATGACTCAGGAAATGCACCTTCTCCCAAGAAACTGTCCTCCCATCTAAGATTAGCAGCATCTTTCTCCACTACTGACCACTATAAGCAATGCAGGTAAGCAGGGAGAAGCACATCCACCCAAGTATTCAGCTCACCACGAAGAATGTATTTTTTACATTTTTCAAGTTTGCAAGTTAGTTCTGTTTCAAACTCCTTTTCTTAGTATTCCCTCCTGGAAAATTAAGCTATATTTAAGAATTCTGAAAAGTGAGTAGGAAGTCAATCATAAACTTAAAATGTTATTCCTGCCTTGCCATTCTAATATTTCTTTAACTTCGCCAGCCTCAATATTTTCTACCAAGAAGAAGATTACAATGTGTAAGCAGAAAGTTCAGTTCAGAAACACCCAAAGTGTAAAGCCTCAGCAGAGCTCCAAACAGTGTATCTTTGCTAAGAAAAGGTACAGTTGTCAGATTGTTGTTATTGTTGTTGTTTTCCCCTGCTTATGAGCTTCAGTTTGCAAGCCAGCACAGAATAAGAATTGGTGAAATTTTATTATTTCTAAGTGGTTAAAAATTATTGAATTGGGGGCCGGCCCCGTGGCCAAGTGGTTAAGTTCGCGTGCTCCGCTACGGCAGCCCAGGGTTTCTCTGGTTTGGATCCCGGGCGCAGACATGGTACCACTCATTAGGCAACGTTGAGGCGGCGTCCCATGTACTACAACTAGAAGGACCCACAACTAAAATATACAACTATATACTGGGGGGATTTGGGGAGAAAAAGCAGAAAGAAAAAAAAAGGAGATTGGCAACAGTTGTTAGCTCAGGTGCCAATCTTAAGAAAAAAAATTGAATTGGAAGAAAATGTAGCAAAGGATTAATAATAATTATCTCCAGGTTATGGGATTATATTGGTAGTTTTTATACCATATTTGTGTCTTCTTGGGTTTCTCACATTTTATTTAATGAATAGGTATAATTTCATAAGCAGGAAAAAAATTTAATGATTTTGAGCCACAGTAAAATGCCTTCAACCAGAGAGTACTGAAGCAGACTCTACCGTGCAGCTTTCTACACAGGAACATAAATGCAGCACAAGGCCAGTACGAGGAGTGGATAAGCATGCAGAGTGGCTAGAGGTTCGCCAAGCCTTTTTCTTTTTCTTCCTGGAGTCACAGACCCCACTTCCCAGCTCCCTTTGCAGATCAGTGTGACCATGTGATTGAGTTCTATGTGGGAGGTATGCCACTTCTAGGGCTAGCCCATAAAATCTTCCCATGTACAATCCCCCATCCTCTCAGCCCCTCCGACGGCTTGATGGAGACAAGCTGGGCAACCTCGAAAGCATAGATTGAGGAATGTGGGATCACAAGGTGGAAGAAGGCTGAATCCTGAATCACTTCTCCCCATTCCCCTATCAGGAAATACCCACTCTGGACTTTTCCATAACTGAAAATAAACTCGCATCCATTAAGGTCACCAAAATTAGTGGGGTTTCTTACAGCAGCTAGTTTTTCTTACCTAATAAAGATAAAAACTCTGCTTAGAGATTGGGAATCATCTCACCTAAATAAACTCTATGCACCTGAGGTACAAGCTTCCTACCGCAAAAAGCACAATTACATGAATAATAAATAAAAGTATTGTATTTCCTTAAAAGCAAAAAGACATTTTACTGGCAAGAGCAAATTATGTCTAAATTACACACAAGTTTGATGACAGCATACTTAAACTTATATAAGACTGATGAGTTGATAACTGTTCAAGATAGGTGATGGTACCATTCTACTTTTGTGTCTGTCTGAAATTTCCGATAATAAAAAGTTTTATTATAGAAGCTATTTTAGTAAAATCCAAACACCACCTTCTGCCTCACCCCTCATAACCTAAAAAAAGCTTAAGCAATTTACAGAAACAAGAGGTTCCTCAAAACAAGCAGTTTCCAAAAACAAGCATGGTACAAATTATGTTCAAGTGAAAAGGAATAATATTCTTCATAATTCTTGTCTGATTTCTTAAGGTTTTGTTTAGGTTTTTTGTTTACTGTCATAAAAAAATTTGTGGCTTTAAAAAACAAACGTATAAAAAGGTTAGACTGGGTAATGAACACCTGGACTCTGTCCCAGCCGGATGACATTCAACAGGTACGTAACCCCTCCCAGACCTTAATATCCTGATCTATAACCTGAGGATACTGATTAAGTAAGATCTATTTCTAACTCCATCTTTTTGTGGTTCTACTGTTTAGATTCCAAGTTGAAACTCCCTAAATGAAAGGGCAAGGATTCAAAAGTGAAAGTGATTCAAAGTGAGGCTCTCACTTTGCCAAAGAGTACTCTGCCATCAGTGAAGAAGAACCCACATCTGATAAGGTGGGCCTCTAACAGGTTCAGCATCTCCTGGCACCCTCCAGCAGGGCACTGTATCGTCTGAGGCAAATCACATCTCCACACTTGGTCTCAGTCCCTTTATAGTCTATTTCGCCCCATCAGCAAAACGAAAATAGTCCTTTATTTACCAAATCCGGAAAATCTGTTGGGAGGCAAAAGGAGAGCTGAAGAATCTCCAATGAATTTAATCTGCCAGGAGAGGGAGTTTAACTCTGGGCCTCCAGAGACAGGTTGCACGTACAGAAGAGGGGGCTTCTGGAAACCCAGGCTTCGGCTTAGCCCCGCTGGGTGACTGAGAGGAAATCCAGCAGTAGACGGGTTAAGTGACTTACCTGTAGAGAGCTGCACTCCGAGACGTCTGAGCTCCCTTCCAATTCTAAAACGTTAAAAGTCCACGAACTTAATAACAGAAGGGACGTGGAAAGAAGTTCTGAGAGTAATGAAAAGGCTAGTTTGAAAGATGTTTCTGATGCTGATTTTCAAGTCAAGCTTGAGAGAAAAACTCAAATGTTGTGTTCTAATATCATACGCCTGAGTTTGGGAGGTTCATTCACAGCTTAATCCTGTCCCCTGAAGTCATGGTTATGTAAGTGTCTGTTGTATGCTGTGTCACTTGCTCTCCCCCACCCCCAACACAGGAGACACACTGAAACCTGAGCTCATCTGCTTCAGCCACTGAAAACACTTACACAATACTCTGGTGGCTTTCCAAATTGACTAGTATTTCCACTAAAGAAATGTAAGTTATTCAATTTTTCCCCCTCTTTCAATTTCATTCACATTCATATTTCTGTACATACAGAAAAGACTGAGAGAGACAAATAAAATTGACAAGCATTTACAGATTTTCTCCAATTCCTGCGTAAAACAAGGAAGGTCAAGTATTTCAACTTCACAGAAGACTATCAAAACCCAATTACTAAGCTGATAGGCCTGCCCGGGACCAATTTAAACACATCTCGCATGCCAGCTGAACTGAGCTTCAGGTCGTTTGATGGGAAGTGCACAGTCATGCCTCATCTCCCACATATGGGCTGTTTATACACCCAAGGCGCACACTCCACTGCTGCATGCAGCACATTCCCATATATAAGGGCTTCGGGGGACACAGGAAATGACTCTAACAGAATACAAGCAGACGCATCACTCCTCGTGGGGTTTCTCCTGACTACTCTTCCTGCCCCATCTCTCCCTCCCCTGGACTACTCCAGCCACTGTGCAGTCTTCTATTATTGGACGATGAATCACACTCACTCGTGTTTTGTTTGCATAGCATGCTATGACTAAGTTCCTCATGGTCAGGGATGAAATTTGCCTTTGCATCCAAAGGACCCAAGATAGCATGTGATATATAGTAAGAGTTCAAAACCCTTCTGAACTGACTCAACCTCAAAACAAGAACCCATAAAATGATGCAATTCTGTAATTTATACTTCACCCTCTAAGCATTTGCTGAAAACAACAGCATTAGAGGGTTTCCCAACTCTGGGGCCTCTTTTTAAAAGCAGGCCAATGAGGCTATGAGTAAACTGTTCGATTACCACCTCCAGTAGGTGGTACATAAGAGCTGTAAGACAAATTAGATCATTACCTTTGTTGACACTACTATACTTTCTAGAACAGTGCTGTCCAATAGAAGTATAACGTGAGATATATGCATAACTTTGAATTTTCTAGTAAGCACATTTAAAAAATAAAATAGCTGAAACTAATAACATTTTATTTAACCCAGTAAATCCAAAATATTACTTCAAAATGTAATCAATATAAAAATTATTACTAAGCTATTTCACATTCTTTTTTTCATACTAGGTCTTTGAAATCTATTGTGTATTTTATACTTAATAGCACATAACAACTTGGACTTCGCACAGTTCAAGTGCTCAAAAGCCATCCGCGGATTGTGGCTACTGTACTGGACAGTGCAGGTGTAGAATGTACGTTTAAGGCAGAATATAAAGTAGCTCTCCTCTTGGCATTGATAAGACACTTGCCAATCAAATACCCCAAATCGGGCTGCGTATGCAACCTTCGTCTTTCCTACTTCATTACAATACATATGTGAGGAAAAGATCAGAAAAACGTAAACTCTTGAACATAAAATTTTGAATAATCTAATTGTTCTTAAGATAAAAAAGGAAAAAATAGCATTTACAGCAAAAGGACCCTTAAAATATCTATTTGACAGGGGATACCTAATGTGTAAAGAAGCCCTGCTTACAGCACAGGCCCTGCCCAGTAAAACTGACAGCTTACACTAAGAGTTTGAAAATATACCCACGCAAACTCAAAGCAAAGTACAGAGATTGAGTTACAGATAAAAATTTAATAGGTGTGTCTCAAGATACAAGAAAGGAACCGAGAGTCAGCGACCGGCAGATTTAAGGCCAGTATGGCAGGAGGCAGCATTTCAAGTACAAAGAGGGGAGCGAGAGCATTATTTTACTGAAGCAGCATCTTCCATCTTTCTGATTGAGGTAAACCAATGCAGAGTGAAGGAATGGCGTGTTAAGAACATATGGAAAGATCAGCCTGCAGACTGGATGGAAAAACTGTAGGAGAGAAAAGAGAGGTGAAGGATGCGACTGTATTGTCAGCTATTAGTTTCTTACTAATCTGATATTTTTTCCCCTAAACTTTAGTAAATTGGCTTTGACTTAGAAACAGGCTAGTGGCTATAATGTAAAATGTAAGACCCAGGAAAGAAAGAGCCTTGTCCCAAGTTTTAACATCTGGAAAACTTGTTAGTCTACTGAATGAAAACGCAGAATATTCCTCGGAGGATGGAGGGAGGAGCATCTTCTCCAGGGTAGAGTATCTGGCAAGCACATGAGTGGTCAGTCAGTGTGAACTGATGATGAGTGACATGAAGCCACATAAGGTCATCCTAAGGTTCTGGCCTACCCGAAGCTTGCCCCTTGAACACAGGGAAAATGTGTGTGACTTCACCAAACACAGTGTAGGGTACAGGCCACAGAAGAGCCACTGTTCACATCAGTGTAATGACAAGTGAGAGAAACTAGAGAGAAGAAGGTAGGGGACCGGAGCCATCTGTTGTCAGCAGCAACTAAATGACTGGTTTAAAGGCAACAGGATAAACCATACACATGGGAGATAAGTCACTAAGGCTGATGCCTGGGAAGACAGGGAGGGATTTTGAAATTGTCCCTCTGTTTCTTTATCCCACCATCTCCAGCAGACCATTCCAAGACTCAGGAATAATGAAAAGATTAGCCAGGGGGAAAAGGCCATACAGCCTTGCCAGAAATAAACATACAGAAGAAGTGAAAGCCATTTTCCCACGTGGAAAGAAATAGAGAATCCATCCTCCAGAGAGCAGACTCTGTCCTTCCAAAGGGTAAGCTTAAAACGGTGGAGCAGTGTCTCAAATGTGTTGAGGAGGCCAGAGCATCTGGAAATAGCGGTGTTCTTAATAGAATACCACAAAATACTGAGGTTCAGTACAAAGTCTAAATTTTCTAAATATACCGTGGCAGGAGCCTAAGACTTAAACTAAAAAACTCCCACAATAAATGAAAAATGAAATTAAGAAAACCATTGTTCATTACTTAATTTTTCATATAAATTGGAAAAAGCAGCATCGTAGTCTAGCTTAAAGATTGCCAGAGTTCTCCAAAGATCACCTAGCTGAAGAAACAGAATCTTCTAAGAACTGCAAGTCACCTGACACCTCTCTCACAGTTCAAGCTAATTTTGTACCACTTTTGATAAACTTACAGTTAATCCACAAGCTGAAGAAAGAGGTGGTAATAACATATTCATGTAGTGCTAAATTTATATATTTCAGAAATCATTATAAAGTATGACACAAAATAATAAAATAAGTTAAAGGAAGAGAAAAGGAGACATGAGAAAGGTAAAACTAAAATGTAAAAAACACCAACTTAAGTATGGGGCCACCTGTCAACACTTTCATTCAGTTCCACATCTCTCTACTCAGTTTATTACCTTGTTCTTACAGGATTTACTTACACCAACTCCAAAGAGCCATTTGTCAGAATACGAGCACTCACAGCTATTTTTCAAAACATGGTCCTCATTGTCTTTACTTGCAACAATTTCAGTTCCCTGTGCCTCTCATATGGTAGATTACTTAACAAACGTTAATTGAATATTAAATACATGCAGCCTATCCTCCTTTTTTTCATTCCATTGTCAAAAATATTCATGAACACCAATACTTCCACAAACATCTCCAACTCCTGGGTAATTCATCTGGATGGGTCCTGTTGCTGTCATCACTCTGGATTCATAAGGGAATATCTAGGCAAAAAATGTTAGAAAGATTCCAGGTAGCATAATTCTGGCTCTTCTTTAGCCTTCTGTCACCTTATTGTACTTGAGTACCACTAAGATCTATTTTCACTGACATTTATCTACATAAGTAGCATTTATGTATGTTTCATACACAATATATGATATAACTTTTTAAATAGGCCAGACTCAGCTTTAAAATTAACACAAAGAATTAAAAACACAAACTGCATATCTCTAGCAAGGATAAAGTACAAAAGATGAAAGGTAAGTAAATAGCGTAGTCACTATTTAAGGGAATCAATGTGAAAAGCCCATTTAGGCATTAAAGGACTAACACAAGCCAGTAAGGGTCAGAAAATTAACTGGCTCCTTAATTCAAACGGTGCTACAAGGGAGTTGTACTTCCCACTTCTAACTGGTAGAGCCCTTACAAAGCAATTTATAAAATCAGTCTACCAACCCTAAGTGTTGGTTTGAGAATATCATACAGTAAGATACTGAAAGTAAACAGAAAGTTTTACAATATCTTTCCATCAAAGTCAGAAGTAGAATTTTAAGTGATTGAAGACTCAGTTCAGGATGTTGCTGAACAAAGTCAGAACAGGGTATCAATAGATAGACAAAACCCCTTGAAAAATTATTCTGTGCTTGAAAATTACATGCTTTTAAAACTTAAAGTATGTATGACATAGTACAGAACACAATCTGTACCCAGAGTTTCAAAGTCTACAGCCATTTTAAAAAGGAGGGGGAGGAGGCCAAAACCTAACTAAGGCAAAGAGAGCTGGAACATTAGACCTTTTTTTAAAAGATAGAACTCTGTGCCACGATGCAACTGCCTGCAATTATGAATGTCTTTGTACAACTAAGTTTGAGTGAAGATTTATTTTCTTCCTGCTACTTAGATAAGCAGAAAATAAGCAGCCTCCCAAAGTTCCTCCATCTTCAAAAGAATTAAAAAAAAAAAAAAGATGAGGGGGACATGGAAAGCCAAATAATTTGAGCTATTTTGCTCATTTACACAAGTTTCTACAAAATTCCTGTGATT